AATTAGATGGTGAAGTTGATGGTGACTTAGAAGAGGTGCATGAGGGTCAAGAAGATGGTGATGTTGTTGAAGTAGATGTCGATTGTGACTTAGAAGGGGTGCATGAGGGTGACGAAGATGGTGATGGTGTTCAATTAAATGGTGAAGTTGATGGTGACTTAGAAGAGGTGCATGAGGGTCAAGAAGATGGTGATGTTGTTGAAATACAGGTTGAAGGTCATGGTCACGTACAAGAGTTGCATGAGGTTGAAGAAGATGTTCATGGTGTTGAAGTTGAAGTTCAAGTTGAAGGTCATGGTGACGAAGAGCAAGAGTTGAATGTGTGTGAAGGAGTTGTGGAGGATGAAGTTGATCTTTGTGGTTGGAGTACATCTACTGATGAAGGTGATGTACATGGAAATAATGAGTGCTTAGAGGGGCTAGTGGATGTGAGTGTTGAATGTGATATAGATGGTGAAATAAATGGTAATGTGGAAGTAGAAGTAGAAAGTCTTAAAGACAGTGATGATGTGAGTGTTGAATGTGATGATCATGATGATAGAGGTTTGTTAGATGGGGAGTGGAAATCTGAGGAATTAGTTGCTGCAACAGATAGTGATGAAGAGGTTAATGACAGTGAAGGTTATGGGAGGTTTAGTGTTTTTTGTATGCCAAAAAGTATGGTGGACTTTACATGGGAAGTAGGGACTTTTTTTTCAGATAAGCAAGATATTTTAGATGCTGTAAAAGGGTATGCCTTGGAAAATGGGAGGAATATAAAGTTTGTAAAAAATGACAAAAGAAGATTGAGGATGAAGTGCTTTGGTGCAAAAGGAAAATGCCCATGGACCATATATTGTGATTATATGGAGGCTGTGAAATCATGGCAGTTGAGAACTAAAAATGAAATTCATACATGCAGCAGGGAGTTCAACCTCAAGTTACTTGACGCCAAGTGGCTGAGCTAAAAGTTGGAGAAAACAATAAGGGAAAATCCTAAAATGAAGGGTGTAGATATTCGTGAAAAAGTTCAAAGGAAGTGGAACATAGGTATATCTAGGTCTATGACTTATAGAGCCAAAGGTATTGCTTCTGAGCACATTGATGGGTCCTTTAAGGAACAATATAAGAGGGTATATGATTATGCACATGAGTTGTTGGGAAGAAATCATGATTCTACAGTTAAAATGCATGTTGAGAATAATGAGGATGAGGTAATTTTCAAGAGATTTTACTGTTGTTTGAAGGCATGCAAAGACAATTTTGTCTGTTGTAGGCCAATAATCGGATTAGATGGAGCCTTTTTGAAAGGAAAGTATGGTGGTGAGCTGTTAACAGCTGTTGGGAGAGATGGAAATGATTAAATGTTGCCCATTTATATGCGGTGGTAGAAGTGGAAAACAAAGATTCATGGTCCTGGTTTTTGAATCTTTTGATTGATGATCTTGGTGGTCATAAAGTATGTTCATCAATAACTTTTGTGTCAGACCAACAAAAGGTAATAATCATATTTAATTTGGTTTTTTCCTACATTAATTCATTAGTTATATATGGTCGTAACTGTTCTTTTTAATTTTAAAACCACAGGGTCTACTACTGGCCATACAAGACTTATTCCCTGGTGTTGATCATAGGTTTTGTGTGAGACACTTATATTCAAACTTTAGGAAGAAATTTCCTGGTAAAAATCTGAAACGGTTGATGTGGAGGGCAGCTACTGCCACTCATCCACAAAATTGGGGGAGGGAAATGATAAACATTAAAGATGTCAATGAAGACGCATTCAAGCACTTGATAGCCATCTCTCCAAGGTTTATGTTTTGTACTTTTTTATTTACCTTTTCTAATTTATACCACTTATTGTATTAAGTATGTTTCTGCAAATGTTTGAATATTGATCATATCATGTTCATGTCAGACTACATATAAATATTACATTTTATAAATCATAGAGTAGAGTTAAATCTAGAAGTAGTTCATGTTCGTATAGATTGATTTTCACATGCATTTATCCTTTTCTTAGTTGCAAGTTTGATTTGTAGTTACTGATGTGAGGACTTTTAGTGCTTTGAGTGCTTTATTTTAATAGGTTGTTATGACTTTGTAAAATATAACCACCAATATTTCCAAGAATTCCATAATGCTAGTTTCAATGCAGACTCTGGATTATTAGAACTATAAGTCACTATTACATACATATACTCTTAACATTTGTCTATATTATATGGTGTAGATATTGGTCAAGGTCCAGATTCAGTCCAACACCAAAATGTGACACATTGGTCAACAATATGAGTGAGGCTTTCAACAGTGTCCTAGTTCATACCAGGACTGAACCAATCATAACAATGCTGGAAGAAATCAGGGTGTACATCATGCAAAGATGGGCAAAAAATAGGTCTAAGATACAGTCCTTGACAAGATCAATTTGTCCAAAGATCCAGACTAGATTTACAAAGGAATCCCAATCAACCAAGAAGTGGATTCCTAGGTAAACTTTCTTCGCTTCTCAATTGTATTCTACTTTTTTCATTCGTAGCTAAACTTTGTTCCTTTTTGTTATAATTTGTTCACAGCTGGTCAGGAAAAAAATTGTTTGAAGTCAGACACGTCTCCCATAGTGGAGACAAATTTGTTGTAAACATAAACGACTTGTCATGCTCCTACAGGAGATGAAGCATCACAGGAATTCCATGTTGTCACTCTCTAGCCGCAATGAAGTTTTTGAATATTGATGGACAATAGTTCATTCCAGGTTGTTTTATGAAGTTCACCTATGAAGAAACATATGCATCAATCATATATCACATCAATGGCAACAACATGTGGGACCTAACACCATATTCGGATGTCATGCATCCTACCAAAAAAGTTATGCCTGGAAGACCTAAAAAGAAAAGAAGATTGGAACAGTGGGAAATCAAAAAGGATGATTCCCGATTGAGCAAGGCTGGTTTGCGCAAGAGATGCGGGCTATGTAGGGAGGTTGGGCACAACAAGAGTCGTTTCCCCAAAGTAACACAACAACCTACCCATGAAGCTTGTCATGACGAAGAAGCTCAACCATAGTAGTGTCTATGAATGTTGATGCAAACTTTAAGGATATTTTGATGTAATAGTACACTTGAAAGGAACAATTATTATGCTTTTGGATGTACTGTTTCACTACAATTGCTTTTAAGACATATATAGCACTTTATATTTGTATTTGACACTGAACAGTGCATTGCCTTTTTTGACAAAATATTGATCTGAATTGAAGTGTTGCTTATGTTGAAGGCTTATATTGATAGCTTGTAAATGCTGCTATTGATTGAACAACATGTATTCTCATTTTAACATTTTAACTAGAACCTCTTATATGAAGGGTGTAAATCGAAGTGTTGCTTATGTTGAAGGCTTATATTGATAGCCTATAAATGCTGCTATCGTGATTGAACAAGATCTATTCTCATTTTAACATTTTGACTACAAGAGTGTATGTTAGAATAACGACATACAATTTTCTCTCAGACCACATTCAAGCTGGTTTATGGAATTATTTACTTGTGAAACAATAAAAACTTAGGATCAATAATAGTTCCCTATTTATACGTAACAGAGAATGAGCATATTGATCAATAAGTGTTATGTTGCTTATGTTGTGTAGTTAAAGCAGAGAATGCCTGAAGGGCTTATTTTACAGATGACCAAGATAATAGATACAAGCACAAGCCACGAGAACTAAAACGTGTCACTCCTATATTTAAGAGCAAATCTTGTAGTAGAAATATTACACACACCACTGAAATGTCCTTTTCTTCAACACAATGTTAAAAAACCTAATTAAAACTCATTACAGCTACAAAACATCATCACAGTAATGGCACTTAATCATAACAGGTACAAAACATCATCACATTAATTGAAGATAGTCAAATAATTTAATATCGAAATTACAATTATATTAACCACGCTACATTATGGATTTGTCATCCATATTGAAATTACAATAATATTAATCACACAAATAACTCAAACCACCCTTATCAACAACTTTATCCATTTTTCCACAACCTTAAAAGATTTTTGCAAATCAATCAGCATATTCGTTACACCTCCCATTTCTTCTGTCGTTGACAAACACTCATGCTTTTCTTCCCACTTCAGATTCGTATAGCTTTTTTCAATACCATCATCACAACGCCATTTAAAGAAATTGCAACCACCGTTTTCATGTCCGGTCTGCAAAAAAAAGAAAAACCCAATCATAACGACTTTCTAGAAACATAAACAACTACTCATCCACGTTCTTTTACCTTGTACTTAGGGCACTCCCAAAATTGTTTGTCTCTGTTCTTAGCAGTTCGAGTTGTTCTGACCATTGTTTTCTCTCCACACAAGGGTGACACACCACGAAAAACAACATTGGGGTTTCCATTCCGCCACCAATTGCATGTCGAAGAAGAAGTTGAATGTGAATTCTGCATTTCATTATCCATTGCGCTTCTACTCCAAGAACAACGATTTTGTGGATGAGTGACGAGTCCTAAAACTCAAATTCCCCTAATTTTATTTCAATTTTGCAATTGCAGATAGAATGTGGCTTTCAGCAGAAAGTAGAATACGATTTCCCAACTTTGCCCTCTCTTTAATTATATTTCCACTCTGTTTACTTAATTTTTTAATTCAAAATTTAAAAAACTAGAATTCACAATCGTTTTTAATTACACGTATATTAAAACTACACTGTCAGCTTGTCACGTGATGCACTCCTTAACGCCGTTTGATGAATTTGACGAAAAACCTATATTTGAATCAATTTTACAAAAAAAAAGACCCAATTGAGACGCCAAAAAAGCATAATCCCTATGTGAGATTCTGGACGAAAATAGAGACCTAACGAGACATTAAACCTATTTTTTAACATCCATAACAAATGGTATGCTAAATTTAAATTTAGGAAAGGTGTTGTATCCAATCCATATCAAATTTAAATGGTATGCTATTTTGGTGGTATTTTGCATGCGTAAATCAACTTTGTAGAAAACCAAAAGAGTGAGATACAAAAGAATAATGGAAAATTTCATAATAGAAATTATACATTGACAATGACAAATTTTTTAATTAATTTAATATTATTGTTTTTTATTTTTTACTTTCTTCTTTTTTTTCTTCTTTTTTTAAATGAATGTAAATGTGTCATCGGACTCATTCCATAATCTTTTAGATTTGTAGTATGTACAAAGTAGACAACTTTTACATATGTATTTCCCAAATAGGGCATTGAATTAATTGAAAAGGAAAAGATAAATAATTTGAATAAGCGTCTTGCAACAATGTGAACCTAAAATAGGAAAGAAAGAAAAAAACAAAACAAAAAGAAGAGCAGAAACAAAGCTTTTCACAAAATGCTGCTTTCTTATCTCAAACTAAGACAAATGCAATTTCGTTCTCCACATTTCTCCAACGACCTGTTTTGGCTGAGGGTTATCTGGTCCTCTGTCCCTCTGTCCTGATGTGAAGTACAGCCACCCATTCCAAAAACCAGCTAATGTTGTTTTTATTCTGTAAGGAAGCTTTCCAATCACTGACCATGTCTGCAAACAGTATTAAGAAACAATAATGAGTCATGTTACAAAGTGACACTTCACCACTTCAATGAACTCTTTAATCTTAGGGGACACATTTTCATTCAATGGCTTCATGAAGTTTATTGTTGCTTCTGAAAATCAAGAGTCTGTGGACGATTGACTGGTTGATTACATTTATTTGATCAGTATTCATAAAATTACAATGACCAATAAGCAATGTGAGAGAGTTGGAGGTATTAATGGATAAAGAGAGATGCACAATCCATTTCTCATGAGTAAAAGACTAAAAAATGTACCATGGTGTTTAAATCAAACCGGAAAACCTCCCCAACAAGCATCATCCTTTTTGTTACTGGGTGCTTTTCTGTGGTACCTCCAGTGATGACAATGGAATTGTTCACAATAACCCATGCACATTCTATGTGTGAATTTGCTTTTGGCATAGTTGGCAAAATTTTCCATTTCATGTCTGCTTCCAGCATGTAAACATCTCCGTAGACCACCTGAAATGTAACAAATTTAAGTCAAACCAGTTCACTTGAAATGATCATATATCCAATAAATGTGGTCCTCTCAGCATTAGTATGTGATTGTGAAAAAGACAATTTAAGCATACAGGTAAAGTCTAATTCCTATGTCATTCATCTTCAGAAAACAACTACCAAATCATAATAGTTTCTCTTTAAATCAATTTTGATGTTGACAAACAGAGAAAATCATACCTCGACCCTGCGTGAACATTTGAATATGGGTGAACCAGGTTTGGCCATAAAATCACCCTCTTGTCCACCAATAACAAAAAGTCGATCACCGACTGCAACGCAAGCCCTGCACCAAATAACTATAGTTTGACAACAATGAATATGACACTATAGAAACACAGTATTCCTACACTCCAAAAGGTTAAGTGAGAACATCATATATAGTTAACTATTGAAAAGGTATTGCAGCCTAGTAGTAGAATGAGTAATTTTGTAACCTATGCGGTCCACCGCGTGGAACGGGAACTTCGTCTCGCCATTGTTGTTCCAATGCTTCTCCATCCTTCACAGCCAAACTCCAATGTTCAAGTCCAGGTGTATGGCGATTCTCTTTGCTACCACCCATGACATGGAGTCTTCCTTTCCACAATTGAGTAGCAGGAGCATACCTGGTACAAGAAAGTCTCATGTTAAAATCGTCCATTTCACAATGTTAAATCGCAGTTTGCTACCACAACAGCATCATGGCCACAATTGCATTTATCTATAATTTCCAGAATTCAAAAAATAACATGCAATTCACAGTTTCAAACAGAAAAATGAGTAGAGGGAGTGCAGTTGATGCATATGTTCCAAGTTGTACCTAGGTTCGGGTAATGGTGGCAAAGGTTTCCATTTCTTTGTGACAGTGTCTAGCGTAAAGGAAGCCGTCGTAGGCCCTCGGCATTGGGTGCCATATTGTCCTGAGACAATGTATATATACCTCCCATCTGTGGCCACACCCAAATGGGAATTAGCCATTTCCTTTGGCATTTTAATCTCATCTACCCACTTGTTGACGTTGAAATCGAACACATCAACATGGGAGTGCACCTAAAGAAACAAAATTAACTCGCGAAGCTCATTAACAAAAAGTAGTTTATTTGTGAAATGATTAAACAAGAAGAAACACTCACATGGTCAAGATGTTCATATCCTCCAAACACATAAAACATATTATTAATCTGTACAGAGTACCCATCTAGCCGAGGCACCGGAGCCGAAGGCATCTGCTCCCAATGCCATTCGGGAGCAGGCAAGTCTGCAAATGTAGATGAAAGGAATCTATCAGGACCCCTCCTTTTTCCACTCGTCCCACCTTTTCCCTGCAACAAGAAAAATAACAGATGTTGAAAGAAGGTTGACTTGAAGAGTGTTGAAAGAAGATCGAAGCTTGAGGAGGAAAATAAGAAAAATGGAGTGCGTGAATAGAAGAGAAAGAGGTAATTTGAAGAAAGAAAGGGTTAGAAAAGGCTCACGTGGTGTTTGTCTTTGGTGTGGGGTGTGGCGGTGGAATTGGGGATGAGGAGGATGGGGGCGTTGGTGTCGACCCAGTTGGTGGCGATGGAGAGATAGTGGGAGGAAAGGGAGGTGCGGAAGAGGTTGGCGACGAGGGCGAGGCCGAGAAAGGAAGAGAGACAGAAGATGATGATGATTTTGGAGGCGGAGTGAGGGTTTGGGTGGTTGTTGGGGTGGTGGAACCTGGTTGGCGTAGCCATTATGTGATTTGCGACAGAATCATCAAAAGAGAGGCATTTATATATTTGCTTGTTGGGAGAGACAGAGAGAAGAAAAGAAGAGAAATTTGGATGGCAGAGGAAACAAACAGCGGTTGGTTGGCGCCAATGGTTTTGGCTCTTCGTTTCACTCATTATAAAAAGCAACGTTTATTTGGTTCTCTGTTCACCGCTACACCACGCGCCCCACCGCCAAAATCTTCCCCTTCCTTTTTATACTTTGCTATTCTCTTTTCTTTTCTTTTTTTCGTACACCGTTTATTATGAATTAATTCAAACTTCTTTATCATCTAATTCAACATTTTTTATATACAAGATCGATTTCATTCACTTTTATTATCATTCTTTCTTTTAACTTGCAAAAAACTGTATTTATAACAACTTATAATATTTATACAAAATATAATTATTTCAATATAATATATATGGAAATTCGAAACCTGTATAACAATTTATATTTACTATTCTAATAATTAAACTAAAGGTTACTCAACATTTTGAGATACCTCGACTCTTACATCATCTTCTTCTGCTTACACCACCATAATAATGATAATGATTATTGTAAAAAATAGAAAAAAATCTATATATTATATCAACAACAAAAGGTAAGGAAAGAAGAAGAGAAGAAATAAAAATGATTTAACTTTGAGTTTTGAAAAGATCACATATTACGTTAATTCGAGGCAATAATCGATCTAATCTAATATGTTATTCAACATTTTTTTTCTTGTTTTAAAACTAATATATTATATCAGTTTCTTTTATTACCAATCTAATATATTTTTAGTATTTACAAAATTGAAATCTCATTTGGCGTTATATCAATTATGCCACAATCGATTTAATATCATGTTTTAATATGTTTATTTTATATTAGTGTAAACTCACTAAATTTTGATAAATTGCCATACGGATAGTTTATCATTCATAATTTTTATTTCTAATTTGACGAGAAAAGAAAAAAAATTTGTCTCACAAATTTATTTTGTGTTTATTTAACTTTTATTTTTTTTATTTTTTTTTGCTTTAGTTATTCTATGTTATTATGCTAAAATGATACAAACATAATATAATTACGGTTTTTCACCAAACTAGGCATATTTGCCTTTAATATTACCAAAATAGGCAGATTCAACCGAAATTACGAAAATGGGGAAGTCGTGGGGGTCCAAACGACTTCAATTGAAGAAGTCGTGCCCCTGCACGACTTCACACTGTTCATTTGACCAGTGTTGAAGTCGTGCACCCCAAAAACGACTTCGGGGTGCTGTAATCGATTACCAAACACTGTAATCGATTACCACGTCTTTTTTTCCTCACGACTTTAATATGAGAAGTCGTGCACCCCCACACACTTTTATCTTTTTTTTAATTTTTAATTTCTTTATTAATTAAAATGATTTATAATTAATAAATAATATTTAAAATATATTTAAAATAATATAAATTATATCTAATTAATATTTAAAAATTATATTTCATTATAATTTAATTTTATGAATTTTAATTATTATATTATACCTTTTTCTAAATTATAATTAATTAATAATTTTTTTATTATAAACTATTTAAAATAATAAAAAATTTTAAAAGTTGAAAACGTTTGGGTTCACGACTTCTTTACTTAAAGTCGTGCATCCCCTTTACACTTTTATTTCTTTAGTTTTTTATTATTTAAAAAAATTTATAAGTTTTATATAATATATTTAAATGTATATAAAACATTTTAAATTATACATAATCAATAATTAAAGTTTTTTAATATTATTAAATAAATATATTTTATAGTTTTATTTAATTTTTGTAATTAAATTAATTTTTTATAAAAGATATTTCAATTAAATAATTTCTAACCATAATTATTGTGGTTACATAAATAAAAATGTATAAACTTATTATATTTCATCAAAAATTATTTTTTATTATAATTAATTACAAAAATAGTTAATTAATTAAATAGTTAATATTTAGTATTTTTATTAATTAAATAGTTTATAGTGAAAAAAAAATTATTAATTAATTATAATTTGTTAAAAGATATTCTACAATCATAAAAATTCAAAAAAATAAATTATAATAAAATATAATTATTTTTAAATTTTAATTACATAATTAAAATAATTATAGTTATAAATTATTTAATTAAAATTATTTTATAAAAAAATTAATTTAATTACAAAAATAATTAAAATTATAAAATTTATTTATTTAATAATATTAAAAAATATAATTATTAATTAGATATGATTTTAATTATATTAAATACATTTAAAAATATTATTTACAAATTATAAATGATTTTAATTAATAAAAAAATTAGAAAATATAAAAAGTAAGAATGAGAGGGGGTGCACGACTTTAATAAGAGAAGTCGTTAACTCTCCCACAACTTTAATTTTTTTTTAATTTTTTATGAAAAATGACTTTGTAATCGATTACAAGTCTCTGATAATCGATTACCATGTTCTAAAGTCGTTTTTGGGTTGTACGACTTCAACAATGAACAAATGAACAGTGTGAAGTCGTGCTGGGGGCACGACTTCTTCATTTGAAGTTGTTTTGGCCCTCCACGACTTCACTTTGGGTCAAAATTTGCCCATTTTGATAATATTGAAGACATATTTGCTTACTTTGGTGAAAAAACCTATAATTACCTATCCCTCCTTGTCCCTTGATAACAATGGAATTTCCATTTTAGGAGAGAGACAATTCCCAGAAAGTTGAGTTATTTTGTTCCATTTTATTTGAAGGAAAATTGTATAGCAGTGACTTATATTTTAACCTAATATTAAATTTAAGTACATTTATTTTAATTTTGACAGAAAACAAGGTCTATTGGGTATAGAAATTTCTATATTTTTAGTTTCTAATGAAAAGTGGCGATAGAGAAATATTTTGTAATTTGTTATATACCCAAATAAAACATTTGATTTAAAACCTGAATTGAAAACGTGGAGATATGAAAATAAAAGAATAAACAGAGAACATATTTTTTGAGTTCGCGAATCACGTCATAACACGGAGTACTCATTGGCTCGATAGCGAAGTATTGTGAAAGTCAGAGAAAAAAAAAGCAAAATAAAGGTATTCGATGCGGGGATTGTGCATCAACAAAATTTGAACTTTCCACACTCTTTGTCAACATCACCACACTAACATGCTCATTTCAACGCGCCACGAGCCAAGATAATTAGAAATTACACAAGTACATGATAGAAATTTGGAATCAATTCGTTGGTTTCTGATTTGAAAGAAAGTAAACACAAAACAAGAGTTCAATCTAATATGTGATTTTTATTTATAAAAAAATTATATTATCTTTTATATTTTGAAAATTAAACAATTTTGATTCACTGTTAATATTTCTTTTAATTACAAATAGAAATATTAAAATGATTATCATGTCTGCCATCTTATTATTCACAAGTCTATCATGGATGAGATCATAATCATGATCGTAAATAAAATAGTATTTTGGTTATATAATTTTGTAAACAAGGGATATGTTTTATCTACTACATGCCATTATTTTTTAATTTTGGTAGTTATAGATTATCTTCATGGAGTATTTTGATCTTAAAGGTGTCACAATACATTGTTGTTCCAATTTGCTTAATATATAACCTTTTATACATTATTTTTTCATGAAATCCCAAAGCTTATATAACATTAAATATTTATCTGTGTTAAGTTTTAGACATGAATATCTTTATTGTAGACAGGCTTATAAAGGTAGTCAGTAATCATTTACCACATCTTCAACAACTAGTTCTAATTAATAATATGATCATATTGGGATATTCTATATTCATTATATTTCATTAAGAAAATTATAATTTATTTATCAATTATTACATATTGATACAAGATCTTACCTACGAATCTAATAAATAATGCATTATTTTCCTACCTTATATCTCTTGCATTTTTCATTCTTTTCATTTTAATAATTATAATTTTCATTGTTAAATATATCCATCATTGTGAATTTTGATATCTTATTTCTGACACTAAAGTTTATTTATCATTTGCTTGAAAAAAATATTATTAGAAATAAGAATAAGGATAGAATAAAGCAAAATTTATGGAGAACTACACTAAACCTATTATAAGAAATTACAGGCACGAAATACATACAAATTATATCTATTATGAAAAAAATCTAAAGATATTAAACCACTTATATTTTTCCCTTCGTGTAAAGCCAACAAAGTTAATTTATCATTATAATAACTACCCTAACAAAAAACATAAGAAAATTTAAACTGTGTATGCTGAATAAAAGACAAACATGTGCCATTTTCCTTTGAGAGCCCAAGAAAATAATTGTCGATCCATAAAACCTTAACAAACTAAAGTAGAGTTTGTCTCCAACCAAAGATGCTTAAAACCCTCTATCCAAGCATGTTTCAAACCATAAATGATCCCCATAAACAAAGCATAAAGAGAAGTATGCATCCTTAAAAAGAAAAATAACTATTCTCCTCGAGTAGTCAAACTAGGACAATTCCTAGTTGAACCATCAATATTAAAATATGAATTTCTATTGTTAAATTGATGTGTTGTGAATGAGGGAGGATGTGCTAATTCTATGCAGAGTTATTTGTTGATTTGATGTTTGTATGGTTTCTCATATGAAATAGATGGTTTCTCATATGAAATAGATGGTTTCTCATATGAAATAGATGATTTCAATGAGTTTGAGTTTTGGGGGTAAATAGTGAAAGACGGTCTGGGCAGATGTGGAAAGGTGTTTATGGTTTTGTTGTGTCTGTTATATGAGATAAATTCGGGTTTGATCAAACAATTCAAGATAGGATTAAATAGATATGTCCAATGTTGAGTAGACATGCGAGAGATGGGACAAACTTTCAGTAGGGATTTTATAAAATTTATGTGGTTATTTATTTTATTTTAAGGATGTTTTATAGATTTATGTATTTGCAGACAAATGAATTTGAATATTTGAGTTGTAAAAGTTAATTGGATTCAATTTATTTGAAAAATTACTCTCAATT